GCAACTTGCAGGAAGCAATAGTTAACCTGAGAGATTGGGTGTATCCGCTGGAGGAAGACACCTAGACCCCACTAGAACATGGGCACGTTAGTAGTCCGTCCTCCCTCAGGAAAGCTACAATGTGGATGAGTGTTGGAGGTGCCTCTCCCAAATTCCAAGAGCACACATGTATTACTGGAAGAGACCCCTTGGGAACGAGGGGGAATGTGAGAGGACAAAAGTTGGGCTGCTCCCGTAGACGTTAAGGTTTCACGGGTACGTTACCACCTTCAAAGCAACGCAAGGACCTGGGTGAAACAGTCCAAGAGACCTGCAGGGAGCTAAAATTGTCCTGTGCGGTCCGTGGACAGGCCCATGGTCTCCTTCGAATTCCCGCTAAAGATAACATCGTGAATCACAGACATTTCCACACATTTACGGAGCTGTCGTTTACCTTGGGGTTTTGCGGGGAACGTGGGGTACACCAGGCATCCGTACAGTTTACATACAGAGTTCGATTGAGCTCGATATCCAATTTTTCAGAACTCCCCTTCCCTGAAACTGGCTATGCAGGACTTGAGCAGAGATTGTACATTCAGCATCAATACAGTGATACAATTAGTACACCTGTCATTTGTACAATGCGTGAACTCTAACAGACATTTAGCAGCAGTTCATATACAACATTAGGAGATGATCCTACAGGTCACCATGGCAATCTTTGATCTGGTATCATAGGTATGCTCCACGCTATAGCTGCCCATAACCCAAATCCTAAAGGGTTTTTCAATTCCATTTCCAGACTCTTCCAACTCCAATAATTCTTAACATATACAGATATCCATATACATTTTTTTAATTAAAATGCTCCTTCACATACACAATCATATATTGAATTATCAAGAACAATAATATATTTTTGGAGCAGAATAGCAAAATGATCTGCTCTGCCAGTGCCACCCACAAACTAGACAAGTAACTAAGAAGAAGTTTGACAGTTTCAGACCACTTAGGAAAGAGAAATTCTCTTGGCCTAAAGACAGGGGAGCCATGCAGTGAAAGTGCTACGGATGAGACAGTAAATGCAACATACAGAAAACCACAAATTGTTAAAAATGTTTTCTTGTAAAGATTCTGGAGCCATAAGGAGAACCCTTATCATCAGGAGCTATCTATACAATTTCAGAAATATTGGATAGCATTAAAGCAGAAAAGAGTATGACACTGAAAATAAAGAGCTATGCAAACACTAAAAGATTGATTTTGGCCAAAAGCTGTATTTCTTTTAATATACCAGGGTGGATACTAAATTTTAACAGTGCATCTGATTTACAAAAAGCCATCTCTGCCAACTTTATGGAAGACAAAAGCTCTCATTAGCCAAAACATCCGAGTCCGTAATGGACTTTGATGTCTAGGCAAACAAAACCCAGGGACGCTGAAACCAAAAGCCCTCCTTGCTAAGGAAAAAACCAAACAAAATACAAACCAAACAAAAAAACAAGGAAGGAAAAAGAGAAGGCAACTCTCTTCTAAGAGTTTCATTACAAACACCTGGAAGAGGCAAAAAAACCCCAAAAAAACCCAGGAGGTGGGAGGGGAAGCAGTTCACAGTAAAAAACAACTGTGGCAACAGTGTGCAACTTTGGGGCAGTATTGATAACAAAATTAGCAGAACAGGCTTCAAACTGGGTATTTGAGCTAGTTAGATAACAAAAGTTGCCGCCAAATCTAGATTTGTCAATTTTTAACTCTATCATATCTGCCAGCAAACTGCAAACTCTTAAGAGTTGCTTGTGTCCCCCCCGCCTCGTGGGTCTTACTAAATGTACAGTTTATGGCAGAGTAGCCAATAATCCTAGTGGCAGAAATGATGGGCTGCAGTCGCAGTGCAGATAGTTGTTCAGGGCTGTGAACTGCTTTCTTATTAATCCAGCTCTTCACGTTTGTTTTTTTTCCTTCTCAAATGACTTAGCAGAATGAGTTTTACCATACAAACTCATAACCTGCTGTAAATCACACTTTCAGTACGCCTCAGTGCCAAAAAGAGGTAAAGAACTGGTTTGATGGAGGTGGGAGAATGTAAGCTCATCTTTAGACAAGGGAGATGGAGCAAGTTTGCGTCCCTCCACGAACCTTTTGCGATTCGCCTCCTATGCCTAATGCTAGCCACTGTAAATATCTCCCTTGATTTCAAAACCTGAAAGGCCAAACATGAAAATATTTTGGTGTTTGATTTAATTTATTGGCTATTTGCCCATCGCATAAAATCTAGTGGAACTGGCAATTTAGAGCTAGAGACGTCCAGCTCCAGAAAACAGGAGGCTACGGGGTGACTGAATGGTAGAGCTACAGAGGAGCCTTCAGCCTCGCAATATTCAAAGTGTTAACAATTAATCTACTATATTACTAAAGACATGAATAAACGAGAAAAACATAATTCTAACAAAAAAAATTACTGCTTTTTATGCAGCACTCTTTTGGATGTGATATGCAAAGCGTTCATGGTACAAGCTTATGAGAAAGCCATCACCAACAAGCACAGATCCACAGTGCGTGACTACACTTACAGGAGTGATTTGCCTGGCTGTACACTTAATTCTCATTAGTATTGAAAGAGTTAAACTTCTTCCATGAAATACCTTAACAGATTTAACAATATTTTTTTTTTTAGTATCCCCTGCATAAAAGAAAAATACACATTATTTGAACAGCCAAGAAAAAACTGCAATTTATTAAGTTTCAAAGAATCTTCGTACTCTTGAAAGCAACTTTCGGTGCATGTTCTTTAACAATCACATTCTATGAGGAGAATAGACATTAAAAGCCACAATTGTTTTTGTTTTTTTTTTTAATCTCAGAGTTACAGACATCTTAAATCCAAAAGGAAAGGCAAAAAAAAAAAAAAAAGCCCCAAAACAAACCCCCACCCCCCAAACCCTTAAACAGAATTTTCATTCCCAATTTTAAAATATGAGGAGTTCTTCTACAACTCAATGCTAAACTTCAGCATGGAAAATTGTATGTAAACACGCACATACACACATACATATTTTATATAAGTGTGTGTGTGTGTATATATATATAAAATATATATGTAGGAGGCGTGTAATGGCAATGAGATGCAATTACTCTGAGGAAAGGTTATTCAGCTAAATACACTACTAAAACTTGAGAAAAAAACAAGTCTTGAACCCAGTTTGTGCATAGTTCATGATCCTCTATAAAACCAGCTTTTGTTAATTTGCAATCTTGCAGGACCCTTTAAATCTGATAAAACCATTAAAAAGCTAATCTTCCAAAAAAAAAAAAAAAAAAAGAAAAAAAAAGAAAAAAAAAAAGTAATGCACAAGTTTCCTGATCCAAGCAGGCAGGGAGCACAATGTTCATATAATTTTTAAAACATACTTGAAGTGTATGTTATTCCATTGTCTTTCTTCCTTTCAAAACAATCAAAAACATTGATCTTTTTTTAAACATAAAGCGATTTTTTAATATATAAAGCACTCTTCAAACATCTATTTCTTTTGAGTCCATTATTTGGTAAATATGTAACTGCTACACATTAGATTAGGTATTTTCTTCTTTCTTACTGTCTTTTTTTTATTTTATTTTGTTTTTTAATAATATCTTCAGTGCTAGGAGTTGGGTTTTAAAAATACATGAAATGGTGTGGAGTTGCTCCTCGGGAAACCCGGCTTTCCTGAGACATCTTCCACCATGTGCAAGATAGTGATCACAAAGTTTTCGCCACTTTGACGAAGAGGAGGAAAACAACAACAAAAATAGTACACAGCAATGGCCAAAGAAAAGAATAATACAACAACACTGTTCAATCCCAGAGCTCTGAAGTAGCATATCTTCATTCTGAAAATAGTTTTCTTTACGATGGAAGTCTTTTTTTTTTTCTTTTTTTTTTTTAATTCCTTTTTTATTTTAAAGTTTGAAGGAGAAAAAAAGGTCTGTAAACAGGTGGGAGCCAAAACTCCTGGCTCCTCCAAAAGCAGTCAAAACCTATGTCCAAGTGCTTGTTTCTGTTCCTGCTTGCAAGGGAACTATCCACTCTTTACAATTATCTATGGCCACAGTTCAACAAGAGTATTTTTTTTAAACTTTATATTCCGAATGGAAAAATGGTGCAATACTCCGGTAATAATTTTCTTGCATTAGTCCACAATAAAAAGCCGCTAAAGGTAGATATACATATTATTCTCCAGAGATACACACTGTAATTTTTAAAATGCGGTAAGAGTCCTTGAGTAAACATTTACACGTGAATTGTCGCCGGCCCCTTCTATCAGTTTCTCTTTTTTTTTTTTTTTCTTTTTTTTTTTTTCTTTTTAACATTATAGGATTAGCTACAAGAAGGGCTGCGGACACTCAGTGCAAAGTTAGAAGCTAATAACAATTAAACATTTGACCAATGAGCAAATAAAAAGCATATACTGAATAAAAGGAAAAAATTCACACTTTTAGTTAAACCACACATGGGCACACACATACACGCACACACACATACACACAAGCACGCTCATACATCTGTTCCAACAAAAACATATAGTCTGAACTTTAAAAAAAATTCTTAAGAGCCTGTTTTTTGTGTACTGATGCCGACCTGGAAGTGTAATAATTAGACTTAGAAAGTGTTCACATTTTGTTATTGGCCTGCTGGATTCAAGTATTTGCATGTTGATATGTTTTTTTTTGTTTGTTTTTTTTTTGTTTTTTTTTTTTTTTAAACTTTTTATATTTTTGGGATTTAAAAAATGACATGAAAAAGTAATGAAACAAGGGTAATGTGCATAGGCAGATCCATGGGAGTAGTGGACACAGAGATACCCCAACCCTGCCCTCCCTCCCCCCCCGCTCAACCTGTACAGTCAATAGTTACCATTCAGATTCATTACTTTTCTGTACCAATGGTAAATATCACACTTCACCCTTTCTGATTATTGGGTCCGCCTCTGGTAATGTGCATAATAGTCACAGGCTCATTTTAAATAGGCTTTCATTTCCCCCTTCCCCCCCAGCTGATAAAATAACCCTTTCCAGCCCAAATTCTGAAAAGTGCCCTTCATGATAGACCTATTCTAAGCAGCTTTTATACTTTGTTTTTAAAATCACCATACAAACATAAAAAGACAACATAAAACAAAAAGCCATGAAAAAATTAAAACCTGTCGTTAGCATGTGACACTGACCAAAAGTAGCCCATACTGTTTCATGAACAGTTCACAAGGACTTCTGCAGTTTCATATTTGATATTGGACAGAGGTACTAAAAAGGGCTGCCAGTCTGATCTGTTAAAGCTGGATTCTTCATCAAGCCCGGGACTGGAAAGGGTCACAATTTTTATTTTTTCCTTTAGTGCTGATGATTGTTATTTCCATGTTGTTTCTCTTGTTTCCTAGATGGACTCCCCACTGAGAAGATCACCCGGAAGAAGAGTATTCAAAGGTGTCGGGCTTCCGATAACTCTGCCGTCGTCGGTGCTCGGGGGTCCCCAAAGGCTGCTGGAGTACTGAGGCACCCCCCCCCAGAGCAGGTCGCTGCTCCCCTTGCCCCCCAGGCAGGGAGTGTTCCAGTGGCCGGCGTCGTTGCGCACCAAGCCGTGAGAGCTGCTCGAGGAGCCCAGGCGAGTCTGGTTGGTTCCAGTGTTGGACTGCCAGCTGGAGGTGGGCGGCAGGGGCTGGCCTTGTGCTAAGAAACGGTTGACTTCTTCTTCACCAGCGAACTCGGCCAGGATGGTAGTGTTTCCCAGGACACACCTGGGGACAAAAACAGAAGGTGCAGCGACATGAAACAAGGGGTGCAAAGGGCACTCTGGAAATATCCGAGATGGATATAAATCCATTTTCCCCCAAGCTGAATTTGAGATGAAGATTTATGCCACATCTGCTCACTTTTAGCAATCCCAGTCTCTTGAACAAAGACTTCTCTGGCCTATTTCCTATTTACCTTTCTACATCCATAGGCAAACACACAAAGAGAGACCACCTTGTTTAACTGACGTGCTTCATGGGAGGCTGTACTCTATTTATGCATAAAGATACAAGCATACAGCACTATCAGCAACAAATGATGCCAATGACAGCACATTTATTGTAATACATTTTCAAAAACTATTCTCTTCATGTTAATTTGTCATCAAAGAATATATTCTAGTATTTAAATCCTGCAACAGATTCAATCATTTGCTGTGTATTTTAAAATCAACTAACCAGGAAAAGAGAAGTCGGGGGTTTTGTTTGTTTGTTTGTTTGTTTGTTTGTTTGCTTTTTGAAATCTGCCAGATATACGAGCAGAATAAAATTCAGACACCTTGCACCTCAGGATGTCTACAGCCATCACACTTGACAGTAACTTTTTAGTTACAGCAAAGGCTGAAATGCTGTTTCTAAGTCTGCTCAAGCACCTGATAACACTGCCTCTTATTATTTCTGAACACTGGGCAGTGGGACCTGTAGTAATTACAGTACTTTGCTTTACTAAAAAGGTACGATACAAAATATAGATCCGACAACGCATCATGTCATGTAGCAAAGCAAGCTCCAGACCACGAGGTGTGTAATTCCTCTTCCTTTGTTAAATATTCTCAGAAGACTTAGAGACTCAGAAACATTAGAGAATCCTTCTTTTTTCACATGTAATGAACAAGTGTATGCTTTCATACCTTTAAAGGTCTTATCCCATCAGAATGTTTAACATTAATTCTTCAATGTACAGTTCAACTCTTCTGTGTCTAATGCTTATTCCTGCTTTTATTTAAAGATACACTTGAAACCCAGTGGCTGTGCTGGGAACACATTTCCAACATCTGTACTCTGAAAACTGGTTTGTACTTCAATGCAACTCACCACTCATCCTGCAAAGTTGAAGGTTTTGTCTCACCTCCCACCCCCTATTTCCTGAAACCTCACTTTTCTTGAACAGTATGTTTAAAATTAATTTCCTTTGTGTATGTTTGACAAGAATAACTGCATGACTAATGCAATGGATGTGGAATTCTTCCAAGAACCTAGCTTATATTTTTTTCCAGCATTTATTTTGCAACCTAAGATCTTTTAAAGAAGAATGGAAGATCATGGCACTGACTGCCTAAACTTCCAGGTTGTCTGTATTAGTTCAGCCTCACCATTGCATGGCAGTTGTAACTCTGAACATATACATTAACAACTACGCTTTCACTGGAATACAAATGTGTTTGTAATGGCTATTCCCCCTCACTGCCTGACCGCAGCCTCTGGCTTGGAAGCCATCAACAAGCAGGGTTTGTGCAAATGCTCCTTGCTGAAAATCACATTGTAAGAATTTCTACCTTTCCTAAATATGTAAATGAAGAGATGCAAATGCAGTCTTTGAAAACTATGCATTCTTCATAAAATTTTAAATAAACTTTCAAAAAGTATTAATCACTGCTGCTCCTAATTTATATAGCAAAAAACCACCACACAACCAGAGATGGAGAGTGTGAGATATTCTCATATCAAATCAGATGGGATCTGAGACATTGGCTCTGCGATGTATTTTCCAGTTATCAGCTCCGTTGTAAACATTTATCTGTGAAACAGATAGCGACTGATCTCTCTTGGAACTCTAATACTGTCCTGTTGGCTTCCACAAATCCCATTGTATTTTACCATTGTCACTCTGCCAGCAAACCAAACACATACACAGCTCAGCCCTTCTCATTCAGAAAGGGCTGTTCTGTCCTTGCCAGCAGTGTAACTAGAGTTATACCACAGCCTATTAAAAAACCCAATTTAAACGGAGGCCTTCCAGATCACTGATAATGTAAGGATATTGCCATGTACATATTTAAAATAAGCACTTATCTTTTAACTCACATATTAATTTTGCCTTTGGCATTATCTCTTTTACCTGATGCCCACATGTAAACTGATGTAACTAAGATGGGTCAATTTTTCATCTCCAGTTGTTTTGAATGCTGCTTCATAATATTTAATTAAGGAATGGTCAACAGTTAAAAAAGCAACATGGTCATTAATATAATTATTATTACTACAATTTCTGTTAATCAGGCTCATAATGGGAAAGGAGTTTCAACTTTACATTTGGAGTAAAACATTGCTCCTAAATCTCTAAGTACAGGGAAGGTAATCAGGCCAGTAGTACAGCTAGTTCCAAATGTTGTTTCCACTGTGATCAGTATTTTTCATTATACTCATGCTATAACCTGTTGATAAAGGAAATTGCTTTCCAACTCTAAGCACTTAAGTATTCTTTTGAAACATCAGTCTTCAGATTCTTAATCCTCCATAAAGTCACTGATTTTATCACTCAAATTCTCCAGCTTTTGCGTAGTATGCCAATTAGTCCCATGGATTTTAAAACACCTAAAAAGCATGTTTTGTTGTCATACATTTCTTTCAATTTCTTTCATAACTCCTTTAAAAAAAGGTGACCACCATGAACACATTCTTTATCATCGTTTTACCCTTTCTGTTGCTCTCTAAGCTAAAACCCTGTCTCATACTCTCTTCTCTCTGAGCTTCCTTTGGAATTCTTATCCCATCTTACAAATTCTTTGCAGTCTTACAGGTGATAAATCCTTACTGAGCACATTATTAATGGTGAATACCTATTATCAAGTTTTGGAATGACCTCTTATTCAGTAGTATATGAGTATCTAGCCCCCAATTATTTTTTCTCTCTCTCATTAGGTAATTTCCAAAACTGGATTAAACTAAGTGATTAGTTCTGAATCCTAGCAAATAAATGCCTAAGAAAATAGTTTGTGAGATAAAACTGGCTTCATAACAAAGGAAATAGAGAGCGGAAACATACATATGCAGAGACTTTTGGGCCTTGGCTGCTTCTTCCTTGGAACTGTATCGGACCACAGCATTCCCTTGCGTCAGGTTCAAGTGGAATGTTATTAGAGGGCCATGTTGCAAACACAGTGTCCGCAGTGTGGAACCATCAATCTAGTAAGAGGGAAGGGGGGAAAGATTAGCTGTATTTTTGTGATTTTACTTTAAATGCTTATTAACAAAACAAGTTTTAAAAGCTAAAGAATAAGTACAGGTGAAAGAAAAAAAAAAGTTTTTCTTCCATAAGAAGAATTTAATTATAGACTTATCACTGTTTTCATTGAGTGAGACATCGTGTCTTTTTAAGACTTCCCTACAGTCCAGTGCACACAATTTCCCAGTTTAGGTGGTACAAATTATATCTATCATTAGAAGTCCACAGAAGGTCAGAAATAAGTCAAAGAAAAAATACATCGTTCACAAATATAACTAAATTTGCCCCAAGATTAATTTGGATGTCTGCATTCAAGGCTTTGTGACTTATGTTCTTCCTTGTGAATGACACTACGTGGAGGACAAGAGGATTTGACAGATGTAGGAGAAGAACCAAAAGAAAAAAAAAAAAAAACATAGGAAAAGAAAAGCAGATTTTACATCTCTATCTGCTTTAAAACATCATTCACCTCCAAACTTACACATACATAAATGGTGCACACTGAATGACTAATTACAGTCTTAAAAGTTCATACTTGATTTGACAGCACTTTGAAAACTTAACGAATTCCCTGTAGAAGACAGACACTTGTAACAAATGTAAAATAATTATTTTCCCTTCAAATGAACCAAATGACCAAGATTGATAAAAGTTCTTACCATCTCTTAAATGTGATAAGTCTCTTTTCATAATGAGTTATGTACAATTCTATTTACCTGGGGTGTGAGGTTTCGAAGAACCAGCCAGCTGCTTGTTCTCCCTGAGCTGTCAGTACTCCATGCAGAACCTATAATACAATTTCCACAACAAAACATCTTATCATTATGTGGAGAGCATATTACAAGAAGAAAACTTATCTGGAATCACAACACACTAGCAGGCATTATTGCTACTGAAAACAAATCCTACAGCAGTTTCCTTACATCTTGATTTATTGTCGTCTTTGCAATGAAAGGTTGCTGAATGAAAACCTGCTTTTGTTACATTTAAAGGATCTGTGGCATTTTTCACATTCCCACAATAACTATTAGAAAACTAGTGGATGCAGGTATGACACTGCAACAAACTGCATCTTCAGGTTACATTAGAATTAATCTGGAAGACACATTTTAAAAGCAATTCAGATGTCCAAGCTCAGATTGCTGCTTGCTATTAAAGATTTTTATAGCACTGCAGCATTCTGCTATCTTGCCAATGATAGATTAATGTATATGACTTATTCAAAACAGATATTTCCGCACTGACAATGTTCTGATTAAAGATACAAGGACATAACCAACAAAAGCTGCTTTTCCAACTTCAGCCTGGTGTTTTACAATGAGAAACCATATAAGCTTGATATTTATGAGTGGCATTTGAGAAACTGCAGTACTTCTGTAGTCACGTGCGTGACCACACTCAGGCTCCACAGAGAATCCTGGCACCAGCAATATCTGCCCACCAGGTGGGGTTTTGGTGAAGAAAACTGATACAAAATAAATGGCAAGAAGAGGGAAGAACATTTAATTCCCAATACAGTGAAAGCAGATTAATAAAATAGTCAGCTTTATCAAATAGGTGTAATACTTTTGAAGCTGGCAAAATTCACAAACAAACATGATCTCTATAT